ATGTGGCTCGCGCAGTTGTCGGGTCTGTGGAGTCAAGCATCATACGCTTCTTCATCTCGGCCACTCCAGCACATCGCAGGCAGCAATTCCGCCCCATCAACAATCTTCAACATCAAGAGTACAGACCATCCCTCAGCCCTCAGCACCAGCCACTACTCTCTTATCCAAGGATCAGCACAGCGATGTTGTGCTCCTGGCTACCGCAGTGGTTCTGGCAAGGAATCGGTTTGGCGAGCTTGTTCCTTGTCGTGCGCTTTTAGATTCAGGCTCTCAACTACATCTCATTACAGCCAGATTTGCGAATCTCCTGCAACTTAAGAGAACAAAATCGGTGGCATCTGTATGCGGCGTAGGCAACTCCAATGTTGCCATGGATGGCAGCAGCATTTGCCTCACTCTTCAAGCTCATGCATCTGAATATACAACTAGCATAACGGCTATGGTAGCTACAAATATAACTGGCAGGCAGCCCAGTTCTAATGTGAATACGAGCAATTGGAGCATACCGCAAAATATAGTGCTGGCAGATCCAGCTTTCCATAGGCCGCAACGAGTAGATCTGCTTATCGGAGCTAGCCTGTTTTATGATTTGCTCTGTGTGGGACAAATCAAGTTGATGCCTGGACTTCCATTGTTACAGAAGACTCGTCTTGGTTGGGTTGTATCAGGTGGCGAGGCTCGCAACCACAACTCCGTGCTAATAGCTTCAAAGACGCCTTTGGATCCGATTACAGACTCCTGTGCTGATATCAAGTTGGACAGTCTCGTTCGTCGCTTTTGGGAAGTTGAGCGCTGCAGCGATTCCATTGTAAGGTTCAGCAAGGAAGACTCAGACTGCGAAGCGCATTTTGCGAGGCATTACAATCGATTGGCTAGTGGCCAATATACAGTACGCCTGCCTGTTAAGCTTAGTTGCGAGCTTCTTGGAGATTCTTATGAGCAAGCGCGACATCGGTTTCTCAATTTGGAGAAGAAATTGAGTCGTTTGCCGCATATAAAGTCTCAATACTCAGCATTTCTGAAAGAGTATCTTGAACTTGGTCACATGTCACGCGTTCCTCTAAATTCATTCCATCTATGCAGATATTTTCTTCCTCATCACTGCGTTCTGAAGGATGATAGCACAACTACCAAGCTTCGCGTCGTCTTTGATGGATCTGCATCTACAACAACTGGGCATTCGTTGAATGACATTCTAATGTCAGGTCCCGTCATTCAGCCAAAATTAGTCGACATATTATTGCGCTTCCGATCTTATCCAGTTGCACTCACCGGCGATATTTGCAAAATGTATCGTTGCGTGAAAGTACCTGAGCCGGACAGCTATCTACAATGCATTTTATGGAGGAATTCGCCAGATGATGAGTTGGAAGTTTTCAGGCTTGATACGGTAACATATGGAACAAAACCAGCGTCATTTTTGTCTGTGCGCGCCATGCATCAGCTTGCCGTAGATGAAAGGAACGCATTCCCAGTCGGGTCCGACGTACTGCTTCGCGATTTCTATGTTGATGATTTGATTAGTGGAGGAAATTCAGTCGAAGAAGCAAGACTTGTTATGCAAGAGACAGCTGGAATCTTGGCATGTGGGAAGTTTAAATTGAGGAAGTGGTGTTCAAGCCATCCCATGGTACTGGACGGCGTAACAGACTGCGACAAGGAATCGCTCATTAGGTTCAACGATGGCAGCGACATTACAAAGACACTTGGCCTTGCATGGGATCCGGCATCTGATCAACTTCTTTTCTCATATCTAGCTCTGAATTCAGCCTCTAAGCCCTCCAGGCGCTCTGTTCTCTCGTCTATTGCTAGGTTTTATGATCCCCTCGGCCTGGTCGGCCCAGTAATAACGAAAGCTAAAATCTTCTTGCAACAACTCTGGAGGCATAAACTTGATTGGGATGAGAGTCTCCCGTCTGCATGTCACACTGCATGGCTAGACATTTGCAGCAACTTTGGCAATGGTCTTAGTAGTGCATTTCCCAGGCTATCATTAATACCAGGATCGAAGGTTGAGGTCCATGGATTCTGCGATGCCAGCATCGAGGCATACGGAGCTTGCATTTATATTGTATCCAGAGGTCAGCATACCATCAGCAGGTTGCTTTGCTCTAAGTCTCGAGTTGCGCCTCTAAAAACGCTCACGGTTCCCAAGCTGGAACTATGCGGGGCAGAGTTGCTTGCGCGTCTAATGAATGAAGTGGCTCGCTTAGGCATTTTCGCAGGCGAGTTTCATTGTTGGTCTGACTCTACTGTTGCGCTTTCTTGGATCAATGACGAGCCCGGACGATTTAACGTTTTTGTTTCAAATCGCATCGCCACGATACAAGATCTCACATCAGCAATGGAATGGCACTATATACCTACAACACTGAATCCCGCGGATATATTATCTCGGGGTGCATTGCCCTCGGATTTAAATGCATCATTACATTGGTTCAACGGTCCAGGTTTCCTCTGTAAGCCCAGATCTCAGTGGCCAGTCTCAGCACTTCCAGAAAGAACTTCAATTGAGCGTCGAAGAACTGTGCTTCTTGTAAAGGACGCAGTCCATGATGTCTCTATGGACTGCAAGTTTGTGAATTCTTTCGGCCGCTTGCAGCGTACGTTTGCATACGTATCAAAGTTTATTAAAAAAAGTCATGGTCCAGGAATAACCCTAGCAGACATCCGGAACGGCACTCATATACTGTTAAGAATGATTCAACGAACACATCTCTCAGACGACATAAATGCTCTTCGAAATAAAGGAATGGTTCCGTCATCCAGCAGTCTAGCCTCGCTGTCACCGTTCCTTGATGAGATTGGGCTGCTACGTGTCGATGGTCGTCTCAAAAACTCAACTTTAAATTTCGATAGTCGCCATCCAATTATTTTGCCCAAAGTTCATCCAGTAACTAGAGCCATCATAATGCATTTCCATCAGCGAAACTTGCACGCTGGTCCCCGAGCAGTGCTAGCGTTGGTTCGTTCCCAATATTGGCCAATTGGAGGTAGAAAAACTGTAGCCAGTGTAATTCAGAGATGCGTAATTTGCTTTCGTGCAAGGCCTCGACTCGTTGAACACATAATGGCAGATCTACCCAAGGATCGAGTCGACGGCTATCGGGTCTTTGGAGTGACTGGAGTCGACTTTTGCGGACCCTTCTTTTACAAGCCTGAGTCACGAAACAAGGCGCCTGTGAAATGCTACGTTTGTGTGTTTATTTGTTTTGCTACGAAGGCTATTTGGTTGGAGTTAGTCAAGGATTTAACTACCGCGGCATTTTTGCATGCACTTCAACGTTTCATATGCACCAGAGGAAAGCCAAGTCAAATCTGGTCGGATAACGCCACAAACTTTCTTGGTGCCCGCAATCAGCTTCAGGAGTTGAAGCGTCTATTTCTGTCAGACACCCACCAGAAGGCTGTGAAGGATTTCTGTTTGGCAGACTCAATCGAATGGCATTTCATCCCTCCACGATCACCTCACTTTGGTGGCTTGTGGGAGGCTGCAGTGAAGACAGCGAAGCATCATTTTTACCGATGTGTTGGGTCCTCCGTCCTAACTTACGATGAGCTTCGCACACTGGTTTGCAACATCGCTGCTGTCGTTAATTCACGCCCTTTAGTTTCGATTTCAGAGCACCCATCAGACATAGACGTGTTGACTCCTGCGCATTTTATCAACGGTGGCCCTCCTTCGTCCTTCAGTGAGCCAAACCTGACAGGGCTCAATTTTAATCGTTTGGATGCTTGGCAGCGCGTAAGCTATCTCCAGCAGGTGTTCTGGACTCGTTGGCGGGACGAATATCTCAACTTGTTACAACAGCGAGCGAAATGGAGAACTTCCAAACCTGGCTTGGCTGTTGGCAACATAGTTCTTGTGAAGGATGAGAATCTACCTTCACTTAAGTGGCCACTAGCCAGAATAATCGAACTTATCCCTGGAAGTGATGGCGTTGCACGGGTAGCCCTACTAAAAACAGAAGCTGGCGAGATAAGAAGAGCTACAAATAAGCTGTGCTTGCTGCCCCTTAAGGATTCTGTTGAAGACTAAGTCTTCAACGGGGGGAGGATGTTGGGCTCAGCAATCATCGCTTCATTGTAATTAAGAGCGGCAGTTCATAGAATATGTTATCATGTAAGAGAATTTGTAACGGAGATCACGCTCTCCCTTTTGCGTTGTCTCTTTCACCCACGCACCGGCTCAGCTTAATCCGCCGGCTCGCGTACATTGTAATTAGTATGCAATTAACTCTTGTTTAGAGCAGATGCAGTGTTAGATTGACTATTACAAACATAGTAGCGGACAGCACGACAGACTAGTCGCTTGCTCGCGTCTATCACATAAACTCTGTAAACTCTAATAATCGCTAATAAACTAATCACTAAGTAAATTCAATCGTTTAATAATTTAAAGCTATTCGAAAAATCTCGATAGCTCAACAGGCCTCAAGTGGCGAAAAGTTTTCCCATCGATTGTCGTAGCTGCTGCTGCTGCTGCTGTTGCCCCTCCGATGGCTTTATGAAGTCAATCAACTTTTTAATGAAGGTACAGTTGTCTCACAGTTCGTTCCGTTGAATAATTTAGGAAACGTCCGCAGGGGACATTACGTATTTGCCAAGCTCTTTATTATCTTCCTCTCTGTTGCTTGTTCTTCTTGATTGCATCTCGCTTTTGCGTATTGATTCAGGCGGTGACAGTTCAATTTGAATAACGTTTTGACGCATTTTTAATTTCCTCTTGATTGCTGTGAATTTATAAATATATACCAAGCATAATAAAGACGGTCTGTCTCTTACAATATACACATTTATTTATTTGGGGTATTTAAAAATACAATTTTGTTTCATTTGCCTATATATATCTTTTGTTTTTTTTTTCTTCTCATGCACGTAAATATTTTCAGTTTGGTTGACGCATATGCATTATATGATATGAATTCAATTTTTGTTTTTGACGAGGGTTTTTTTTTTTTTTTTTTAAGATTTCTGTTTTCTTTATACATACATACATACTGTTTTATATATGTTTGTATTTATATTTATATATGCTCTTGTATTTGTTTTAAGACCATTCGCTATGGGTCTGCAGTTAGACTCTATAAAATAATACCATATGCTGCATCGCAAAGAATTCGTTTGACTTGTTTTCGAATTTCAGCCGCTGAGGTTGCGTGCCACATTTCCATTCCCATTGTTCGTGAGCTTTGTTTGTCAGCGGGTTTAATTTATTTTCATTATGGGCTACACTCGCATTCGCACTCGCGCTTGCTCGCAGTACTCTCGGTCATTTCCGGTGCGCCGTTTACCCAGCTTTCTGTCCTTACAATTGACGCCGCACAATGCCAGCTCCCAAAGGCTTTGCCTTTGACTGCAATACAACAAAAGAAATTCATTTCAGCTTTAAGGTTACTTTTCACATTTTTTCGCTTCTCGCTCGTTTTTTGTTTCGCCAATTCACAAGTGGAGAATTCGAGGCGATAAACTTTTGAATTGAATGAGCCCGAAAGTAATTTATATGCAGCAATAATTTATCTTTATAGAAATTAAACCTTAATTTGCATGCAAAAATCATAAAAAAAGAAAATATACAGAAAATTTTGCTCTTTGAAGAAAAGTTGTGAAAAGTGAAAGAATAATATTGAAATTGAAAATGAAATATTATAAAAATACTAAAAATTGCTTTAGCAATTCTATTGATTCTCTGATTCACTATTGATAACTATCGTATTAGCTATATCGTATTTAATCAACAAAAAGAAATGTTAAACACTCATTATCACAATTGAAAATAGTAAAAAATTGAGGGATAACAAATTTGCACTTTATTTTTAGCGCAATGCTTAACGTGAAAAACGTGGGAAATATAGCGTATACGCACCATCACACACATTTGTTTTTTTTTTTTTTAAGCGACGGCAACAGCTGCGCGACTCATCGTCGTGCAGCTGCAGCTGTTGCTGTAGAGTGTTTACAACAACCGTTCGAGGTCCTCGCTCTCCGCATCACTGATGTAGGAGTCGGTGTCTGTAAAGTAGTCATCATCGCAGCGATTGCGACGACAGCAAACGCGTCGACCCATTTCATCGTCGCTCCAATGCTCAAACTCCTCCTTGTGATGCTCCAGCAGCATCAGCGATGGGAACAAACTGTCGCATCCACTGCAGCTGTTGGAGAGAGTGAAACAGATAGAGAGAGGGAGAGATTCGACATTGAAATTGGTTGGCTTTAGCTGGAGTCATTGATTACCCAAAGTGTCGCTTCTTCTGCTGATGCGAGGCCAGCTGCCGATGACAATGGAAGGAGCGATCACACACATTGCAGGTAAGCGATTCATCTGTAAGTGAAAAGTAACGAGTCACTCGTATAAATTCCTACAGGCAATGACTTAAACTTATTTTGGTGTTTTCTTTTTTTGGCTTTTTGTTTATTGCCAACTCACCGTAGTCATCGTCATCGTCGGCCATGGCCAGTGCGTGAAGTCGGCTTATTGTGCTTTCGTTAATCTGCTTGGACATGGCCGATGTGGAGAGGTCCTTTGATGATTTGCCTTTGGCCTGGCATAGGCCCAGCTCACATAATGCGCTCTCCACCACAAAGTTGCCCTGGCAATCGGCGTTCGTGCATGCCAATAGTTGCATGGCCTTCTCATTGCCATTGGCCTCGTCCTGCCCATTGATGTTGTTGCTGTTCGTGCTCGGGTTGTGGTTGGCATTGTTGCTGTTGCCGTTGCTGTTATTGATGTTGCTGCTGTTGCTGCTGCTGGCGGCGCCAGGTGCCAGCATTTCAAAGTCGTCTAGCTCATCGAATGGATCATCGATTTTATGGCCCAGAGACACCGCATCGTCCGCCTCGGCGCTCAGCCGGCCGTAAGCCTTGCGTGGCGGCCGCTTCACATATTTGTCTGTAATAATAACAGCAAGGACACTCAAACATTTAATTAGCACCATCAATTTGTGCAAAGTATTTTGGAGACTCTGTTCCCACAACTCCTCGAATGCTATCTGCGCGCACATATGCGCCTTGTCAGCTGCCTGGGGCCGACAAGAACTTTCTCTTTGCGCCCCATTGAAATTATAAATTGGTTTTTTATTTCTTTGTGCTGCAGCTGACAATTTATGCGCGTCTTTGTGTTGCCGGCGGCCTTTGTTTCGATCCTTGTCTCAGCTCAGCTCAGTTCGGCTCAGGTTTTTGTTTGGCCTACCATGTCCTGCACAAAAGTTTTTGCTGCTTGTCCTCGAGCCGTGAAGTGATAAAATAAGATTTATTATGCGAGTGTGAATGCTAGCTGAGCCTCGCCATAAATAGCAGCGGCCTATAAATTCTCTAAAGGTTTTTATTTATGAACCTATTTGTGGTGGCACCTGAATACTTCAGCCAACTGGCTATGAAGCGCTCATTAACGCATCGACTGGCGAACCTATTTCAAATGACTAACTGGGTATCCGGCGTATACGCAATACTCAGATTTCAGCTTGAATTTTTCCTTTTTTTTTATTCAGCTTGAAAATTGAAATATTTTTTGTTGCAAAAATATTGTGCCAAATTGTAATTTCCTATCCAACCGACTTTATCAATTTAAACACGCCATAATGAGCTCATTATTATGCAGCCGTATCGAAAGTCGAACAATTAAGCCAACCTTCGGACAATTGTAGCGTATGAAAAAGTTTGAGATTCAAACGAATTGGAATCATCAAACCAAATTTGAATTAGCTTTGAGTGGTATATGAATATTTCACAGAACTTTCCTAGAGCTACCGAGTGCAATATATATAGAGTTTCCGCTATTGTTGTAAACCAAAATGAAATTCCGTAGAAATTTCAATTTTTGTAGAAAGTTTTTTATTTTTAAATTTCAAGGAATTCATTAGCTTTTGTCAGGACTCTGTGTATCAAGATTTTGTGTTCTGCGCAACAATTCCTATATACATAGATCTGCATTAAATAGTACAAAGAGTGAAGACATTGAGTCAATCAAGCCCCAATTTAGTTTGATATCAAAAGTGAGATGTCAAAAGGTTATTCCAAGAATTTCGCTGTGTTGGTAAAGCAGAGTGAAATAAATAAAGGCGAGCATGAATATTAAAAAGCGGGACAAGTAAACACTAACGCACACACACATACACACACACGCGTACAGCAGGTGCTGTAAGCTGGAGGCAAATGCGAAAATTGTTTGTGGAGCTGTGAAGGCACGCGTTCGTCCATGAAGCCAAATAAAACTCATTTTTATTGCTAGCATATATATGTATATATATATTTACGTGTATATAGTACATACATATATACGTATGTATTTGTATATTTTTGTAGGTGTGTATGGGCGAGCAGCGCGCTAAAAAGTATGCAACAACAAGTTTTGTGCCCAAGCATTTAACGCCAAGCAGTTAGTATGTGTGTGTGTCTGAGCTTACGTGTGTGTGTGTGTGTGTGTGAGAGCACGCGACTGTTGCCGCTGGCCTTTAGCTATGCACAGATTGAAATGGTAGCAAAATGGGAGAGAGAGAGAGAGGGATATGTAGGGTGAAACGGCAATAGCGCGAAAATAGTTGGTCTTTAAGTTTAGCACCCGCCAGCGTCTGCTGCGACTCATATGCGATCTAAAAGCGAATCAAAGATTAAGTTATTTTCGTGTGTGTGCCAAAAAATAAATAAAACAAACTGAAAATAGAAGGGAAATTCGCATTACAACACAAATTATTACAAATGATGCGCCGGCGGCTGACAGCTTGTTGGAGTTGCCAACATAAATCATGGCCAAAACATAGCCTGGCGTGGCTTGGCTTCGCCATGTTTTGGCTATATTAATACGCTCTGATAAACGCCCAATCATTTGCCAGATTGTAAGAAATAGACGTTTAATATACCAAAAGAATACGAAAAAGTGTACTAGATGAGGCTCTGTGACTTGTGAATACCCTAGAAATATATTGATATTGAGTTTTAGTATTATATGGATAATAGCTGAGATAATAGCCTTCACATACTTTTCTATCTGTCACGTACTGCAATAATAATTGTTATAATATAAATAAATATAAAATAATTTGAATACTTCACTAATGAATATACTAATCAGAATCATTAGAATAAAAGTGATACTAATAATAATTGCAATTCTAGCCACTTGAATTCATCTTAGATACTTGACTGCACAAAATAATTTAGTTGCAAGATAATTTATGATTTTCATAGACTCCCTTGAGGTCATAATGTTTCCTCTTTTCCAACATGGAGCTCCACTAATGGTGCCTGTAGGCAAAGTTTTTTTGGCTGCCATTGAAGGCAAAAAGTCAAACATGACCTTCAAAAATAGCCAAGTTTTTTGTGCGTGTACCGCAACTAATTGGCTCACACATACACACACATATATGTAGGAAAAGGGCATAATTGTTTTTATTGTTAAACAATTGTCGTAAATTGATTGCAGTGCGCATCTGTCTGCACAAATGGGAATATTGCGGGCATTATTATCAATGACAAATGCCTGTCATAATTATCGGTTAATACCGCTGACATATGTTGGCCAGCATTTGCATAATAAATGGCCTCTGTGTGCTCGACAGCATCTGTGTGTGTGTTTAGGAGTGAGTGTGTACACGTGCGTTGAACATATGTTGTTCGTTTAACAAAATGGCTGGTAATCAAATTGAATTTTTTGCTTTAGTTTATTGCAGTTGCTCATGAAATATGAACAGCCAATTAAAAATTTTATTGCTATATATATAAATATTTTATTAATAATTACAAATGGCAGCGTTAAAGAATACATTTTCATATGAATTGCAATTAAGTGGAATTGCCCATTTAACTTATTTATACATATTTTTCATATGCTAATTAATTCAAAGGGCTTAATTAGCTTATTAACTATTCATGAATTGTAATTTTTCGAGTATATTTTATATACATAAATGAAATATCACATGTTTCATCAAAATCAATTATTGGAAAATTATTCGTTTGCGGAATTCATTTGAATGCTCTCAATTTTTCGGCTTAAATATTTACTTAAAATTTGCATTATTAATATGTAAAGGATATTTTTTATTAAATATCAACATAAAGTGGGAGAATATATCTATATATATATAAGAAAGTTGTGTAAAAGTGAAGACTGCTTATAACTTGATTTGGGCTGAACCAATTTTCATGGTTTTTGATTTGTTGGATTTGTCTCCGCAACGAGTTTAGTATAGGGTCTTAAAAATACTGAAAAAATTTGCCGAATACTTGAAAAACGCGGTTTTTTCCCCAAATGTTCAAATTTTTTTTATACCCAGTAGGCTTGGTAACAGTGACAGTTTTGACAATAGTGTAGAAGTAAATAAACAAATGTAGTCAGTCAGTCTACGGCACAGCCTCAGGCGAACCTGACTATTCATAAAAAAGCACATTTGTTAAAAAAAAAATTTGAAAAACAATACGCATACGGACAAAAGCAAAATATCTCGAAAGTTCAGGTAGGTATTGTTGAATTTGTTTTTCTCAGACATTATTTTTGTAAATAATTTATATTTGTATTTCTCGACATTATTTTTGTAAATAATTTTTATTTATATTTCTCGATTTCTCGATATTTTATGTGGTTTTGTGCGATTGTGCATATTCAGTATTACTATTAATGAAAATGCCGCGTCCTAGAAGATTTAATCTTTCCCAGCGGACCCATAATGCAATTAGGCTACGGAATACCGCGAGTCAATTATCTGACGAAGAACGAGAAAGGCGCCGCGTTAGTACCCAGCAAAGAAGGGCCTTAATTCGTGCTTCTCAAAGAGAGGCAGCCCGTGAAACGGCAATAAGAAATGGTTCAAGGATTGATTTGAATCGAGCAGCGTTTCGATATGATTGTACCATTGACTACAGCTTGAATCGTTTAGTTTGCATTGGTCCAATGGACGTTGTTTGCCAGCATTGTGGCGCATTGAAGTTTGCTGGTGAAACGCCCGGTTTGTGCTGCCTTAGTGGTAAAGTGACATTGCCATTAGTGGTCTCGCCACCAGAGCCATTGCGTTCCCTGCTTTATGGCGAAACACTAGAATCACGACATTTTCTAGCGAACACTCAAAAATACAATGCCTGTTTCCAAATGACTTCATTTGGGGCGGAAATTATTGAAGAACACGGATATAATCCGACATTTAAGGTAATTTACGTTAAAAATTTTATTTTCTTATTTGGGATAATGTAGTTGGTTAGATTTCTGTAAAAAGTGTTTGTAAATCTAACTATAACTATGGCTTTGAATGTAAAGATTCAAGGCCAGATTTGCCATCGCATTGGATCATTGCAACCTATTGAAGATGAACAGCACAAATTCTTGCAAATATACTTCATGGGCAATATGGAAGAGCAACTTGATCGGCGCCAAGAAATCAACACTGCGATGAAAAGAGCAATTCTCCAAGATTTGCAGCAAATGCTTCATGAACATCATGCATTGGTCAAGTTGTTCAAGACCGCTTTAGAGCGCATGCCAAGAGATGACTATAAAATAGTAATCAGAGCAGATAAAAGACCAGCTGGAACACATGAACGCACATTTAATGCTCCAACAATCGATGAAGTGGCAATCCTGATTGTTGGTGAAAGCTTGGAAGCACGCGATATTGTGCTTACACGACGCAGTGCTGCGCAACTACAAAGAATATCTGAAACGCACCGTTCATATGACGCTTTACAATACCCGCTGATGTTTTGGCAAGGAGACGATGGATATCACTTTAATATCAAAATGATAAATCCATTGAATGGTAAGATCAATCATTGTTTTCAACAGATATGCCCTTTGAGTTTAAACGAATTCAATTCCCGATTCGTCTTGCCTTCGCCATGACGATCAACAAATCACAGGGCCAATCTTTGACTATTTGTGGCCTCAATCTAGAAAATGCGTGTTTTTCTCATGGTCAATTGTACGTGGCATGCTCACGTGTTGGCAAACCATCCGCATTATTTGTTCTTGCACCTGACCAAAAAACGAAGAATGTCGTTTACCACAAGGTGCTTGAATGAAAATCTGATTAATAAATTAATTAGAGTGTATCCCAACCTGAACAACATACCTTTTAATCATTTTTTACCTAGAAATAAGGGTAGGGCAATGCAACGCTTGCTGGGACTGCTAGTATATTATATAAAATATATGTATATAATATAATATAAATATTAAAAATTGTTTAGCTTTAAATTTTCAACTTAGCTTTAAGTAATAATTATTAAAAAACAATGACATATTGAATGTTCCGATTATCACGTTAATTTAATTAAGTTTAATTTAATTTGATTTAATTTTATTAAATTTTGTATTGTTTGATTTAACATCTTATAACACACATTCACTCTATTAAATTTAATTAAATTTTTTAATTTTTTAAATTTACGTAACTGAAACTAATCTTCAAATGAGACGCCTTCTATATAAATCCCAATCCATTATCGTTCTATAATAGAAATGGTATAATATTGTTTTTTTTTTTTTTTTTTTTTTCTATGTGTTACTGTTGGCAACGAGAACTTGGCTATTTATCTAGAGTTTCCGTTTCGGGCTTCCTTTTGCTGCTCGCTTTATCACGAGTTTTATTTTGGGCGTTAAAGCTAGCGCGAGGCTTAGCGCTTAGACAAAAGCATCTCGGGACAACGCCTGAAGTGTTTGTTTCGACAGTCATATCCTAGGCACGTTTACGGCACCCACTCATACTCTACACACATACACACACACACACAAACGTTCACACACTGACATATGTGGCAGTAAACCCATAAGGAGCAGCTTATTATTAAGTGAGGCTTGTGGCTCGTATTTGCTTTGCTTCAACTGCCTCGTATTTATACATTGGCCATCGGTAGCTCTGGCCATATGCTAGAGGATTTTGTGCAAACAATAGGTACAAGTGTCTACTTAAGTACAGTACACACACCCACACACGCACAAGGCATACATATGCTTGCGTGTATTATGTGGTGCTCAAATCATTTTGCGCATTTTAATTAACTTGCTTTGATACGTGCGAAGTTTTATGAATTTCAGCCAAAGTTTTCCATTTAGGCATTGAAAGCGAAAGCTTGGGAATTGGTCATGATTCTTTAATACTTGGATTTTGGTTTAATGCAAGCTTTAAGCAAGTCAAGGCTTAAACGAAGATTTTGAAAAATGTTAGTTTTATATTTAATTATTATATTCAAGTTGGTAGAGCCACTTTGATTAGGGCTAGATAGCTCATATAGCTAGACCATAATATTTGAATAGGATTTACTTTCACTACTTAATACTTAGGTAGGTATTTCAAAAGAAAAATACAAACACCAAGCAAAATAGCATATATATTTTTTCATTTGAATAATATTTTCATATTTTCAAATATCTTTAGTCAAGTTAATAATGATACTAGCTTTAATAGGTAATATTTAACACAAATTAGACTTCATTCCTCGAGAACTATTAAATAGCTATTTAACTGTTCTTTTATTGTATAACTGAAATAGTTATACGAAATACGTGCCATGGTTGTGCGATAAGTTCAGCAAATAATTCAAAAAGTTTATACCAAAACTTTCAGAGCACACACACACAAACACACTCGCACATACTTCAATTAATAAAGCTTAGGCTTAATATTTCTAATGCTGCCACGTAAAAAACAGTTCACCTCGAATGAAGAAACTAATTTATCCGACTTGCTTCAACACACGCACACACAGAGCACGACTGGAGATTTGAGAAGCACTTGAGTAATTTAGCAAGCATTTTGGTTTTTCTTAGCTCAGCTTCTAGCTTGATTACAGAGTGGAGCGCCGAGTCTGAGTCATGGCACACTAATTAGACAGTCCAATCAATTAGTGCCTGGTGTCGAAATCTAATAATATAATTGCCACCTGGACTGTACAACTTACCCTGGGTGCTGTTGCTGTGGTTGCCATTGCCGCCGGCGGCTCCATTGCCGCTGCTCTTGCTGAAGCTGCAATTGTTGTTCAGCGAGTTGAAGAAATTGGCGGCGCCAGTGCGCCGTAAGATCCAAAACATGTTGCAAGCTGCAGATGCTGTCGATGTTGTCGATGTTGCTGATGTTGTTGCTCTGATATGTTACACCAAAAAAGTATGCTACGAACTAAGCGCAACGCAGCGACGGCATTTCGAAAGCGTCTGCTGATAAGCGCGTCTAAATTGCGATATAGTGACTGACAGCGAGAGCGAGAGCGAGAGTGAGAGCGAGAGCGAGCGAGAATGAGATGCCGACGCGTTCGCGACAAGGATATGAAGAAGCGTTGCCCCAAAATTCGCTGCTGGCAGCTGTTCCGTGGCGTCGCGTCGTCTGCAGCTAACTGACTGCCATTGGCATTGGCGCTGCCGTTTTATACTAGCCGACAGGCGAGAGCATAGGAATTAAGAGAGCGCCGAGCCGAGAGAGCGAGTGAGCCTTTGGCTTACGTTGAGCGCCACGTAACGTAAGGCCAGTCATTACGTAGCGAGCTGCTGGCCTAGCCCGGCGTATGCTAAATGCTGAACTTGACCTTCGTCAACAATGGTGGATCCCAAATATTTTGTTGCACTCAATCGTTTTGCCTTCCTTCTATCTTAAAGTCACGTAAATGCGCACGACTATGCTAGGAATTTCGGGCTTAATGCCCGTACGCCGTGTTGGGCAGCACGCACTTAGCGCACCAAGCGCCCAAGCCACGCCCCGTGCCTCATAAACCTTAACCGCCCACCGCACATGCAACACGACAAAGTTTAGCGTTTACATGAGCATTTGCCCTGCGGCTCAAGTGCGGAGACACAGGTTCATGCCCCGTCAATTGCCGCTTTTAGTTGCGTTCTGAAACGCTTTGAACACCAGCGACTTTAGTGCCACAGGACACACAACAAAGCAATGTGAGGACTTACGCTCTAATAACTTTTACTTGCATTTAGCCTCGCGCTGCCATTCTGTTTGTATTGCCACGCCCATCTACGCCCCACTGCAACTTGATACACCAATGGATGGGTTCAAACGATATGTTTGCCTTGAGCAAGCACTGCCATGGGGCAAGCATTATAGTTGTACTCGAATTTCAAGCAGCGACAGCCTTGAACGCTGATTTTAGTTACGATTTTACTATTAAAATTTAATTAAATTGTATTATATTTTGTAATTTAAAGAGAATTTTCGATGAGAGCTTGGAATATTAAAAATATTTAAAATAATACGAATTTATGTAGGAATGCTTGAAAAGTTAACCTAAGAGCAACAGTATGTAGTCCTACTCTGATTGAGGAATATTATTATTGGATCATATAATTGATTGACTTTAGAAACAGTAATTGCCATGCCCTAATGAGTAAGCCATATAATTGATCGGCTTTTGTTCAAACATGAACATACATAATAATAAAAATAGAGACAGTACTCGAATAACCTGCGCGTTATCCGACACAAAGTAATAAATATGTCATCCCTTAGTTGCAGCGACCAATGCAGCGTCTAATATATGTAAATGTAACGTGAGCCTGGGCCCAAAGATTCAAAAAAAAGGGACACTTAAGTAAACATCTGGGCACTTGTTTGTGTGAGAAAATGCACCCTTCCAGTGACTGGAAGTAGTTTTAAGAGTCTCTGTTAGGTATATAAGAACTAGGATTTTAAGCAATAAAGAGTTCAGTTAAGATCTTGAATTCGGCAAATGTGGAGTGTTTTTCATTTTAACGCTCTAACATTTTGGTCCTTCGGCGTTCTCTGTGTTTTCCCCACCCGTGGTAAGAGACACAGAGAAAGGAACCAGCGTCTTAATGCTGATAGTTTTAAAACTCAGCTTAAGACAAAATATAGTATATTACTCTGTTTTCCCCCGCCAGTGGTAAGAGACAGAGTATATACATATATAAACTAAAAGTGGTGCTCAAATTTAAAAAAAGAAAAATTTGTAGTGCTGGTGGGTCTGCATTCCCAAAAAGGGACTAGACCAAATAAAAAAAAAAAAAAATTTAAAAATCCGAAAAGTTCGGTTCTCTCGTGAAGTGCGGAGAGAGAAAAAAAAAAACAAAAACAAAAATTGAAGTGATTCTGTTCTCTCGCGTGAAGTGCGGAGACAGAAAAAATTAAAAAAAAATAATAAATAAAAATCCGAAAAATTCGGTTCAAAAAAATAAAAAATCGAAGTAATTCTGTTCTCTCGCGCAAAGTGCGGAGAGGCAGAATACTACCAAAAGGTTTCTGTTCTCCATCCAAAAAGAGAGACAGAGTAAAACTACAGCGAAATTCGACGAAAGAAAGCGACTCATCAGAACCGTCAGTGGCCAACGGGAAGAGGAATATCACCAAGATCATCAGGCGCCCCCTTCAGAGAAGACTGGATCAACAGGAGGACAGCGCGGATAAAATAAAGATAAGTCGTAGTTTAATTTTTTTTAATAAATATAAATAAAAATAAAAAGAATGCTGTCAGAAAAAGTGATAAAGCTCTTGAAAATGCAATCGGACTTAGTGTCCAGATTGAAAAAACTAGACTCATCTGAAGAAATTAGGCCACCGAGCGAAATTTTAGGAGAGTTAGAAAAAATAAAAGAAGAATTAGAAAATAATCATACCTTATTGTTAAAAGTAGGGGTAATAGACCATGCATACTTTAACAATAAGGAATTTGATAAAGCGATGAAAAGCATACAAGATTTGAAATTAGAAATTATGAGGGCTGAGAAAGAAGAAGATAAAGATGTGAAGCATGTTAGAGCAGTCACAGTTCACAAAAGCTCTGAAGAAGAAGTAGAGTTTGAAAGCAAAGTCGAACAGTTAAAACTATATTTAGTAGAAGTATATGAGGACATTGCAAAAGGAAACGTAGGAATCTTCGAGATTCGAAAGAATAAAATTAAATATTTATGGAATAAAGTTTCAAAGCTAGTTCAGGAGCTAAGAAATAAATATGTGTCAAACAAAATGTTTGACGAAGAGGTTAATGAATTAGATTTTGATGTGCAAAATGCAATCAGTGCGTTAGAAGCCAAAAAAGGCACCCCAATTCAACCCATAATCCACGAAAAAATGGATAACCTTCCGGGTCTACCAAAAATTCAAGTCCCAATATTTTTTGGAGATGTCAAAGATTGGGATTTATTCGCTGAATTATTTTGCGACCTTATTGATAGAAGAGAAGATTTAACTCCTTCTATCAAATTCAGTTACTTAAAATCCTCATTACGAGGAGAAGCAAAGAGCATGGTTGCTCATTTATTAACGGGGTCCGCAGATAATTATTCTACCGCTTGGGAATTACTTACCAAGCGATATGAAAATAAAAGGAAAATTTTTCGGAACAATTGAACCGAATAATGGACCTTCCAAATTTAAATATTGACTCATCCAAAAGTATCAATTATTTTATTGATACAATTAATGAGTCAATACATATAATTAAAAGTAAGGCTCAACTTTCAGAAGAAGTTGATAAAATCTTTGCACACATAATACTAAGAAAATTTAGTAAAGAGGCACTTCAATTATACGAAAGCCAAATAAAAAAGACAAAAGAAATACAATTACTGACTGACGTAATGGACTACTTAGATCAGCGACATTGTTCATTATCCACTTCAAATAAGGAGGAAAAGAAAATTCACTCTGGTTACAATTGTCCTATATGCAAAGTAGTAGGTCATAGTACCACACAATGCACGAAATTTAAGGCAATGGTCCCAAGAGAAAGATTGGATGCTGCAAGAAAGATACAGTTATGTTTGAGGTGTTTAAGACACACGAATACTAATAGGTGTACAAGTAGCATGAATTGTTACTTTTGTAAGAAGCCTCATCATACAATGTTACATATAAATACAGAAAAAGTTAATACAGTAGTAACAAATGAAGAGGCCTTATTAGCCACAGCGATAATTAAAGTTAAAACAATAAAGGGGAATTATATCAACTTAAGAGCCTTAATAGATAGTGGATCTCAAAAAACAATTATATCTGAGGAGGCCGCACAGTTGCTAAATTTACCCAGAATCAGAAATGAGACAGAAATAAGTGGTGTCTCATCAGAAAATACTTGTAGGTCGAAACACAAAGTTAAGCTAATAATAAAACCTAGAGAACCAAATAAAGAACAGTTTAGGGTTGAGGCCATCATATTATCAAAGTTAATGAAAGCTCTCCCAGTTAGTAAAGCAAATATAGACATGGCTCAATGGCACAATTTCACTTTTAGCTGATCCACAATTTTATAAACCAGGTCGTGTAGACATAATAATAGGTGCAGACTTATATCCACACGTACTAAAAGATGGGATAGTAAAGATAGATGGATTACTTGGGCAAAAGACTGAATTTGGTTGGATTGTATCAGGTTGTACAAAATCAAAAGGTAAAACAACGATAGTAGCGACAAGTATTGCAATAGAAGACCTAGATCGGTTCTGGGAATTAGAAAACGAAGAAGAAGAAGATGTCAAAGAGATAGAATTTTGTGAGAAAAATTTTCAGAATACAACAAAAATTGATTCAAGGGGTAGATATGTTGTAACAATTCCGTTCAAAGAAGAAAATGAATTAGGAGAATCAAAGCCACAAGCTATAGCTCGATTTCTTAGCTTAGAGAAAAAGCTGCAAAAAAATGAAAAATTAAGAACAGACTACACAAATTTCATGAACGAATACTTGCAGTTAGGACATATGATATCTACAAATAAAGAAGGAAAATATTATTTACCACATCAGGCAGTGTTAAGAGATAGTAGTCTGACAACGAAGCTAAGGGTAGTTTTTGACGCATCTGCAAAAACAACAAATAAGAAAAGTCTAAATGACATTATGTGGACGGGACCAAGAGTTCAAAAAGATATATTTGACATTATATTAAAATGGCGACGCTGGGAATATGTAGTATCAGCAGATATAGAAAAAATGTATAGGCAAATAAAAATAGCAAAACATGACCAAGAATTTCAATATATTGTCTGGAGAGATTCTCCAAGTAAAAAACTAAAGAACTTTAAGCTTACCACAGTCACTTATGGTACTGCATCAGCTCCTTACGTAGCCACTAGAGTTCTTTTAGACATAGCCAATAATTGCAATAACGCAACAATTAAAGAAATAATTAAAACAGATTTTTATATGGACGATCTTATGACAGGCGCTGAGTCCATACAAAACTGTAAAGAAATTGTTGAATGTGTTTCCAGTGAACTAGCAAAAGTAGGATTTAATCTGAGAAAGTGGATTTCAAATAAATCAGAAATAATTGAAGAAATAGACAGAAATGAAGAAAATAAGGTGTTAAGCATTGAAGAGAATGAGTCAATAAAAACATTAGGTCTACAGTGGGAACCCCTCAAAGATGAATTCAAATTTAGTTTCACT